CGTTCTAGCCCTGAAGAAGACCTGCGAAGTCGGATCGAAACGTAGGCTTTTAATAAAATAGTTTTGCCACTATTCAGCCTATTTATGGCCGCCACTCCGGACCATCTCCTTCCTTTATAATGCAACGGTCAACGATTAAATATTCAATATTTGCTTTGAAATTAGGACAACTGTAAACATTTATATATTTTTTCCCTTGGTTCATTACAATTAGCGAAAAAATTGGAAATGATTCCTTCTTATAATACGTTGAATCACATAATTTCCTTATCAATTTGTCATTTGTTCTCAGAGTAATATTCTTTGAGATAAGGGACAAATATTATGTAAATATTCTAAGGAAGCAAATACAGAAAATAAAAAAAGTGAACGTAAATACAACTTTTTTTAGGATAAAAAAAAGTTTTATGATTTGCAGTAAAAATTTTCTGTAAAGAGTTTGCCGACTTATCGACCACCAATCCAGTGAATTGTGTAAAATTTCCCAACAGGCTAAAATCAACATAAGCATCCTGGAATGGAAATACCTCTTCCGAAACTAGACGCACTAATTGTTTATTTATAAAATTTCATTTTTTTTTCGAATCATTCCTCAGGCACGCTGCCACTTTTAAATCCCCTCTGCCCCTGTTTTAATAATAGATGAAGCTGGAGTGGGTTGAAGAAGACGAATAGAAGATGGGGGGAAAAAAAGGCGGAATCCAGAATTAGCTGAGACGGTGGCACTGGTAAGGAATAAGAGATCAAAAGGAAAACTAAAAAAGAAGGTTGGTGCGAGGTGAGGATCCCAAGAAGTGAGGGGGGGCTTTTGTCGATGACAGCAAAATAAATCCCACTTATGCTGAGGGCCCTCGCCCACCGCTCTTAGGCTAATTGATCCTTCCTCTGGTATGCCGAGGCACGTAGTGGTACCTTAATCTGTCCTAGCTCTGTCTCGTATATATATATATATATATATATATATATATAAGTGTTATATATATATATATATATATATATATATATATACATATATATACACATATTCTTCTCTCTTTCAAAGGTACTGAAATACAGAAAAATATCCATAAATCTCAAAATAAGGGTGTACAACGCCGTGATTAAGCCAGTTCTGCTGTACGGTTGTGAAACCTGGGCTCTTAGAAGCCAGAATTGAGAGATTTGAAAGAAATGTTCTACGTAGGATAACAGGACCTATATGGGACCAGAACCTTAACACATGGAGGAGAAGGAACAATAAAGAACTATTGAAAGAAACGGGTCGGTCAATATCTCATGACATGAAGGCAAGGAAGTTAAGATGGGCAGGGCATGTAGCTCGTAGTAATCCATCAGGACGCCTCTAAAAGACCAGAATGCCAGAGTGGTAGGCAAGAGACCACGTGGGAGGCCAAAAACCAGATGGATAGATAGGATAAACAAAGATTTGGCTGAGCTTCATGCCGCAAACTGGAAAGCAGTAGCCCAAGATAGACAGAGGTGGAGAACGCTGGTTCAGGCGGCCAAAGATCTACAATGAATGTAGAACCAACCGAAAAAAAAATATATATATATAAATATATACATATATATATATATATATATATATATATATATATATATATATATATATATATATATATATATATATATATATTTACACATATACACACACACTTATATATAACAAATACATATATCGCTCCAATGATTTAAGTTAGTCATCTGAAAAAAGATTGAGATGAGTACATAGTTGACTGTTGACTTTGTGCAGTCAAAAATTTCTTTAACGGGTTTGCGGACGTTTAGACCCACATGTTTGAGTCGATAAGTCGACAAACTCATTACAGAAATTTCTGACTGCAAATCATGAAACTTTATTTATTCCGAAAAAAGTTTGATTTATGTTCACTTTTTGTATTTTCTGTATTTGTTTCCTTAGGATATTTACATACTATTTGGCCCTTATCTCAAAGAATATTACTCAGAGAGCAAATGACAAAATGATAAGAAAATTAAGCTATTGAACGTATTGTAAGATGAAGGCATCATTACAAAATGTTTCGGTAAATGTAATCCACCAATTGGCATATAACGGTAATTGGAATAATCCAAAATTAGAAGATTGAGAATTAGACATACCAACAAACTCATATACATTTGCTGCTATAATTATTCAGACCAACTTGTCAAACACGTGATAAGGAATCTCTCATAGTGCAACATCTTTTCCGATGCAAAAAATATCAAGAAGAACAAATTAAAATCAAAATTTAAGACAGCACCGTTTAAAGAAAAAAGTACAATTGAAACAACACTCATATACTTAAAAGCAAGCAGATTGATTCATAATATGTATAAATAGTCCTCACTAATTTTTTTTGTCGGTTGACTTCGACCTTTTAACTCATGAGTCTTCTTCAGCAATTAGATGCTGTTATAGGCGACAGTAATGGTAGTTTTGTTCTCTCATGATCGAGATATCCAGGGAGCACGTGGTTTTAGCAACCGGACGCGAACACATTTCACTCCATCTTCATCAAGAACATTCCTGCAGGATGGTTGCGATCTTTTGATTCAATCTTCCATCCAGTTTTTTATGGGAAAGTGGAATATCAGTCCTATACTCAACCCCCAACCTGGAGGACCAATCTCTGAGTTACTTTAATCGTTCCGTATTTGGTTTCTATTGTTTTTAGTTATTAATATCCGTTAACGGAATTGAACATGATAAAAAAAAATTTTAATTGCAGGCTTGATGTTAAATATAACCAAATAAAAAAAAAATACTTTGGATAGATATTGTAGAAATTTTATTCTCTACAGTTTTATTGCACGAAAGTAGTTATTAGTATAAAACCACTGAGATTTCTTGCTTTTTTTTTTTTGCAATAAATTATAACCAACAATTACATGTAATTGAATTACAGGCAACAAGAAATCTCATTATTATTTTATCCTCAAGTGTACCTGTAATTTCTGAATGAACAACTGAAAGAATGCATGACCCAGGGGGTTAGAAAATATTAATTTGGTAATGGGAAAATTATTGGGGTACGTCGAGAGGTCTGCAAGCCATAAACTGGTTTCAAGACACTCCAACCCTAAGGATTACTGCAGAGGTTGAAGACCACCTTGAAAATGCTGGAATAATTGTTTCAGGATGTCCTCTACCCATAGTGGGATAGACGGCGGGGCAATAAAGGATATAAGGTGACGGACAGGGGTTAAAACGATTACCCTCGAAGGACAATTAGAACAAAGAGAAAAGAGAAGGTAATTGCCTGTGAGGGAAGGTTAAGCCCTGGTCGTTAGGACAGGCTTGTAATTTAGCCCGCTGGCAAAAACTGTGGCACAAGTTGGCCTCCGTCTCCACGGCAGATGTCTCAGTCTCCTTCGGTTCCAGGATGTGGATCTGTCAGCTTTTAATGTCTTCTTCAAAATATATATACACCCATCGTTTTGTTTTTTTCTTTTGTTTCAATTATAACTGGTCTGGAGAACGATGTCAGGAAACATGGTTAGCTAGGCTCTTATTCTTAACGACCTCCAGAGACCCTTGGTAACTTCCTTAATCGGCCCATTAACTGCTGGGTGACTATAACTGCCTGATAGGAGATCCTCAATTTCTATAAGTCAGGGCCAACCTGTTATTCTTGCGTATACATCAAATTATTGAAGGATTTGATATAGATGAAGAAGCTAGTTAACTTATTTCAAATGGAGTTATTTCCAATAGTGTAGCCCGAAATCGGTCTTAGTCTTGCACTTTGCAAGACCAAGACCAAGGCCACCTAAGGATGGATTCTGAGATATTTTAATCAATATATAAAAACATTTCAATTAGTCTACTCTAGGAGACTTTAACCTAGCGTTAACACTTCGGAAATCTGACGCATCAATTCTAATTCAGTTTCCACAAAAAAAAGTGCAAAAAAAAGTTTTAATTTAAAAAATATACTTTGACAGCGACAAAGTATATTTGTGTTGGAAGAAGGAAATGAAATGAAACTTAAATTAACTACTTATATATACATTAATTAATGTTTATATTATGTAGTTATTTCGTTGTTTTTTTTTATATTGATTTACTGCATTATTTATGAACCGTTCTGCCCTATTACCTTGTCTTAGGAAGTCTCTTACGCTTTTTTTTCAAAACTTTTCACAATTGTGTGGCTTACTTGCAAAACATTTATCGAGATGTGTTTTATTTAGCTCTTGGATTATTGATATTTATCTCAGAAAGAATATTTTAATGAAAGAAAGAAATAATAAACGGATAGGGAGAGGTCTGGGGAGTACGGAAAATGAGGAAGAAAGTTCCAATCAAACTGTAATAGTTTTTGTCTTACGGCCAACTCTTCATGTGTTTTTAGTCGAAAGAAAAACTCTTATAGTTTGGTAGGAACTTGCAAGGGACAAATGTGCATAAATCAAAAATAAACTTTTCTGGTGCAGTGGTTCTCGATGAGCTTTGCTATTCCAGAAAAAAATCTGGATAATTCCTACGAACGTTCATAACTTTTCAATTTTAAAATTTCAAGAGGTTGATGGTGTTACAATCCAGATTATCTGAAATAATTAATTAATACAAGTAATTATACTCAGGACTTTTCTTAATTTTTACGTTAGATTGAGCCGTCAGATTTCTGATGTGTAACGCTCGGAAGTCGGATGGAGTGGACTAATTTTAGTGTTTTTGCATATTGCATAGTGTTCAGCATTTCATCCTTTCTGTAATAGGCTATTATTATCTTAACGCAACATCGTGTTAGAGAGTTGAAAGAGCAAAAATAGTACCGAAGACCAAATGATAACCAGTTTTATGTTAGATATTGATTAAAATATATCAGAAAGTTAAAATCAGACCTGCATACTGTAAGCGAGGGAAATGTTCAGCATTTCATCCTCTTTACAATAAGCTATTATTTATAATTTATATTTCATATTATTAATCTTGCCTTGCTCATGTTTTCACTTCTATCGTGTGGTCTAAAGCACACACCATAGTTCTTTTTTTAATTCCAATGAAATAAACATTGACATTTATTTATTAAAACCACATCTCTTAATCCATGCCAAAGATAGTATAACTGCATGATTATAACCTTCACAATGATGATTTTATGTTCATGGTTTCTTAATAAAAACCATTCTCTGAACTAAACTATTAAAAGTCGGTTTGACTACAGTTGGCAAGATTGCCAGAGTGTTTGGAGCCGGATCCCATTTCGTAATCCTGTTTTTCTTCTTTGTTACTTTTATATTTTTCATTCCAGCTCCTGAAGCCTTCTTGATATTCTGTTCCAAGACTACTGGAGAGGACCCACCAGCTTTTTTCGCCACTCCAACTATAACTTTCACCTTCTTCTTTTCCAATCTTTTTTCCATTTCCACTTTCTGAACCTCGTAAAGCTCGTCGTAGAACGACCCTTTCTCCCACTTGTTCGGATCGTAAACTTCAGTTTGGTAGTTGGTTCCAAACTCGTTGATGCCACAGAACTCGATCAGCTTCTCGTAGATGCTTGGATTCCTAAAACTCTTCTTGTTCTGTATCACGCTGTTCCAATCACAGTCTGTGTCCTTCATCTTCATCATCATCTTCGTTATTTTTTCTTGGAGTTGAGGATCGCAGGTCCCTTTTGGTTCAGGAAAGAAATCGTCGTCCAATGTGCATTTATCACCATTGTCTTCGAGATCCACTTCTACTTGTGGCTCGATTGACTCGGTCTCCTCCTTTTCACTGGATGTATCTTCGTAAGGATCATCGCAATAGGAGACCAACTGTTTCTTCTTTGTAGAAGTTCCCTTTGGATTCACGTTCTGAACTTCAACAATACTAGACTCTTCATTCTCTGAATCGGTGAATCGATCTTCTACATCCATAATATTATTTGAAAATATTTCTCACTTATAACAACATATCTTTTTAATGATCCTTGCAATATCCACCATGTGATCATGACACTATTATAATTTAAACATCAATATAATCATTTTTACATATGTTACGATATATTGGTACTTTAAATACCTACAATCTTTAAGTAATAAATTGCTTAGATATTATGACGATACGTTTCCTGAATACCTTATTAGAACCGCTTTGCACTAAAACACGAAATTATTAATCGATACGTGTTCAAGTATGTTCATCAAAATATTTGGATGTATTTCTAAAATACTGCAGTTTAATTTTAAGTAGTTTAGCACAAATTTTGGTTTATTATTTTCAATAATGAACCATTGTGATGGACCAAAAAATTCAAAAACTTAACCTCCTCTCAGAATTTTGAGGTTGTAAGTTTAGGATGCGTAGAATTAGAAAAACGAATAAAAATTATTTTGTCCATCCGCCGTCCGCGCATTTTCTCCGAAACTACAGGACCGATTTTTTCAAATTTGGATATAAAATCAGAGCTCATCCGAGGATGATCCTTCTTCATCGACATAACTATCCGCCTTTTACTTTCAAAATGGAAAATCTGCGTTGCTATAGACTGTAGCGTCTAAACGAATGTACCGATTTCAATGAAACTTCGCTAAAGACATTTTCTCGACGCCCTTTAAATTTATCTATATAACATAGTCCAACGAAAAGAAGTTGGAAAGAAGTTGGAAGTCCAACGAAAAGTTATGGGGGTTGGTAAAATTAAATTCCGAATAACTCGAAAAGTGTACACATTTTTGGCAATATTGTGATATGATATTTTAAAGGTAATTAAATTAATTAATTAATTAAACAATTAACGAAGTTTCATCGATATCAAAGCACCATTAGTAGAGATATCGCGATTTTAAATTATTTTTGGTTTATTATTTTCAATAATGATCCATTGTGATCGACCAAAAAATTTAAAAACTTAAGCTCTTCTCAAAATTTGAGGTCTTACCTTTCAGGATACGTAGAATTAGAAAAACGAATGAAAATATTTTGTCCACGCAGGTTTAAAAGCTTACGGAATTTCCTAAAAAAACAAACAAAAAAATGTTAAAATCGGACACTTAGGAGCAAAGATATGGTCTCTAGTTTTTTTTTTTTCAATATGTTCTACTGCAAAGATTATGTCCTTCGATTTGGTTTTTTGAATTTATAATGTGCTACTGAACTAATGCTAATTTTTTTAGCATATTAGTAATGATTAAAAAAGTCCAATAATTGGAACCACCTTTTGTTTATTTCTCATTGTAACTAGGAAGGCGGTTGATTTCAATGGTTAATGGTTGATTCCATTAACCATTCCATCCTTTTCAACAAACTGAAATTATTATCCTTTTCCAATAGTTCCATCTCTTGGTTTCAATCTTTCCTCTCCCAGCGTACCCAAGCAGTCTCCATGCCCAACCAACTATCTGCCTTCCTTTCTTTATCTTCTGGAGTTGCCCAGGGTTCAAGTATATCTCCTCTCCTTTTCAGCTTACGACCATTAACGACCTACCTAAATCAATTCTCTATTGTTCCCATCACCTTTATGCAGACGATTCACAGATCTACCTATCATTTTCATCTCCTGAGTTACTGGGGGCATTTGCCAAGATCCAAGAAGACCTAGATCGAATCAGTGCCTGGGCAAATGTAAATGGATTAAGGTTAAATTCCGCCAAAACTCAAGCCATTGTCATTGCTTCCAAGCCCCTTCTTAGATCCCATCCTTCACCTTAATGACCAGCCAATCTCCTTCTACTCCTCTGTTAAAAATTTAGGATTTTTCATTGATCAAAACCTCCTTTGGAATCACCATATTTCTCATATCTCTCGACGGACAATTTCCACCCTCAAACTATTCCATCGCTTCCGCCATCTCCTACCTCAACATACGCGTTTCCTCTCTCATTTTCCCCCACTTTGACTATAGCTCTGTGGTTTATGATGACCTCTCGGTGGAGCTCCGCGATAGACTGAAAAGACTAATGAACAGCTGCGTAAGATTTGTGATCGGGGCCCCAAGATACTCCCATGTTTCTCACCACTACGCTGAGTTAAAGTGGCTTTTCTCCTCCTTCCGAAGACAATATTTCCTAGGTACGTTCCTCTACCAAATCATCAACAGCCAGTCCTTCTTACGCCTACAACCTTCTCCAGTTCAAATCCTCAGTCCATTCTCTGTCAACAAGATCTCGACCTTCTAACCTTTACATGCCTTCTCACAGATCTGCCTCATTCCAAAATTCCTTTATTGTTCGCTCTGTCAATTTCTGGAATTCCCTCCCTATCAAAATTCGACATTCCCCATCCATATCCAAATTCAAAAACTTCCTATTCCAATTCCTATCTCAAGAACAGTCAGATAATTGCTAACCATTTTAATAGAGAATTTGATACATTTTGATACCTTGTCATAGTATTAATTGTTTTGTATATAGTTTCGTTTTTTTGTATATAGAATGTTTACCTTACATTTTTTTTACATTATTTATTTTTTTCGATTGATTTTATTTTGGCCAGATGTGATCTTTCAATTTTGTTATTCTCAAGGGACTGTGTCCCAGAATAAAATTATTTTTCTATCTATCTAAGATAATGTTACTTTAGATGTATAATTGTTTGGAAATAATAAACTATTTTGAAATAATTTGCAGTGTTTTTATTTTCACCTGATAGAATCATAAGATCTTTCTCCAATGAATGATCATATTTTTTGAATTCCATTTTTTTTTTAGGTTTTTTTTTTTTTTTTTTTTATTAAATGCATCAAGCAAATGTGTTGAAGTTAATTGTATTTTCTCGTATTCTTGAAATATTGTTAACTTGCCAGCAGAAGATCTCTAGGCCACCGCCATTAGGAAAACTAAAAGATACTAATGAGAAAAAATATTCTTCAATGGTAAAGCGACCAAGAGGCCGACTTACCAGATTTGTGAAGTGTAATTCAATATTTCAAATATCTCTCTCTCCTATCTTCCCTGCATTACATATCTAATATACAGATTTATTTTTTTATGGTATGCCCATCACTCTACACGCCGAATACACAATTTGCTTATTTGCTGTTGTTTTAATTTTTTGTTTGTTTATTGTTTCTCCTGTTTCCGTAGAAGGATATATACAATCTACTTTTGTAACAAACTCGTTACCGGAGGACAACAGGGGACAAGCTGTTGACAGAGGGATAACATTGATCACCGAATCAATTTCATATGCAAATAAAGTGAAATAGAAACCAAATTAGGGCGGTGGGGAAGTTGGCCCATTGATTTTCCAATTAACACTGACCGATGCTGGAAACGGGTTTGTTAGTTATCTGTTACCTGGAGCCCTGCTAATTAACACAATCACCTCTGCTCTACTGTAAATAGTTCATCAAGAATTACAAATACCTTTCAATTAAGAACTTCATTCTCCCTCCCTCTCCATCTGCCTGTAATTTTAGCTTTGAAACGAGAACCTTTCCAATAAGGAAAGTGTAATTATTCAGCACGTGTCACTAAATTGCATAAAATTGATGTCAAAATCGAAATTTACAACACTACTTACTTAAATTACAAGAATATTTCAAATTATGGTGAATTCGACTTAGTCGTTATATATATAACACTTCGAAAAAAATCTTAACGTCTTTGGTGAGTTTTATATAGATAGCAACCAAATTATTCCGACGGGCACAGTACTTTATTTTGGACTAAACCTCAACAGAGATATTGCATCAGGTACTCATATAAAAATTAAATGGGACGGTTTTTAACAAACGACTCAAACTATTATACCTATTTTTTCGAAATCTTCAAAACTGAATCAATATACATACTTACTTCAACCCATAGAACGAACTCTTCGTACCCAGTACGCGAAAAAGAACCACATATAAAACCTTTAAACATCCCCTATGGATAACATTGGGTACTTTCCATCCCCAGGACGTTTCCTGAAATATTCAGCTAGTTTCAGGCACAGACTAATGACCGAAATCATATTTTTTTGGGTGGATCCATGGAAATGGCACTTCAACAACTACCAAGGACTGCACAATTTGGCCACATTAAAATATTTATCTAGCAGTAGTGGGGATGTGATGATGTGATGATGAAGCATTTGAGAGGAGGGTGGGAGTTTTCGAAGATTCGATTGGATTCGATTCCCAGCAAGGTAAGGTAATATTTATTTCTCAACGTCACCGAAAAATGAATTAGTTAACCCCTTCTCCTCTCAATGAAATGTGTATTAGTCCGTGATACAGTCAAATTAATAAAAAAAGCCTAATACTTGTATAGTAGCATCATTTTGTTTGTTTGTTGGAGTTTTAAGGGGTAATACATCAACGTCATCAACGCCTGAAAATTAATCTGGTTTATATTATAGCTTCATTTTACCATAACCTACAGCTTTTTTATCTACAAAAATTCTCTACAAAAGGTGTTTTTTATTCCAAGATCTGTAAACGTTGTCAGTTTAATGACTTGCTAATGACTTTAATGACTAATGAATAACCACTTGCTTATCATTCGGATTGTAAGGTAGTTTGATTATAAAATCAAGAAGAAAATTTGGTCTACAAACATATCGGGCCGTTTGGCGTGACTTCCATTTCGAACGTGTCAAAACGAATGTTGTTTACAATGAAATTTAACCATTTTACGAAGTTTTGGAACAGTATTAATAACTTGAAATTAATAAGTCTGTACAGCGTCCTATGTATTTTGAACTGATACTCAACTGAACGATAAAACTGAGGCTGCAGTTAAAATAATACGAAAGAAAGTTAACAAAAGACGCAAACTAGTTTACTATCTTGTTTGCAAGACCATTTTAATCTATAAACGTAAAACTGAGACATAAACTGAATATATATACATACATATATATATATATATATATATATATATATATATATATATATATATATATATATATATATATATTTTTTCGGTTGGTTTTACAGACCTTGTAGATCTTTGGCCGCCTCAACCAGCCTTCTCCACCTCTGCCTATCTTGAGCTACTGCTTTCCAGTTTGCTGCATGAAGCTCAG